CGATCAGTATTTAGTTTGGCCTAGCTGAAAATACAGTATCATTTTAATAGGAACTCATGAGTAACCACAGCTCACGTCTAAGAGAGAGAATTCTAAAGGAAACTTTGTGGTATGTCCCTGTGATGGTGATGCTTTTTCAGGTTACAGAGGAGAGACAGATATTTAAGTTACACCAGCTGATGGGAAATTATTTTGGAAGCACCTTGAAAAAGTCAGGAAACAGAAGGAACCCTCTGAACAGTCACATAGTCAGGCTTCATGAAGAACAAGGACATTCAGCATGTAATTGTGACCCAGAGCTATAGCTTGGACCACTTCACCTTGGCGAAACTTGCTAAGTGCTGAGAACTGCTTCTGACTGTAGCACGTTCTCTGTACTTGCAGCTTGGAGAGGGGTGAGTCTCACCCTTCACTCCCACTAGCATAGCTGCCTCTGCTGCAGTCTGCCTTGTGGTTTTTGTGCCATCCTGAAGTGCACCATGCATCCACGTTCCCAGTGTTGAAGGATCAGATTGAGTTGGTTCGTCACTCTCCATTACAGGACATCCTGGTGGGAAGAGTCCTTTTGTGAAACATCCTCTCAGTCCCTGGATTCCTTTATGTGCTGGCTGTTGTGCAAATACATGTTCCAATGAGTTATGGTTAGGATAACAAGTCTACGTGGCTTAAACCTGACAAAGTGCAAGGTGCAGTTTTGGCCTCTTTCCCAGGAATGGGCTGTGGACTGTCAGGCACTTGTAGAAAAATTCCCGTCCTTTGGATGCTGGGTTTCTGGTCTGACCAGACGATGGACTGCTGATTCCTCACTCTTGGCAGTGTCTTTTAGGAATAGCAGACAGGCAGAATTCCCCTGGATCATATGTATCTAGATGACTGCAACCTACGTGGACTAGTCCAGTAGAAAGTCTGCCACTGAAGAGTAAAGCACAAACTTGGGCCATAAAGAATAAAAGACAAGCTATATATAAGAAGCAGCATGCAGGACAGACTAAGCAAAGGGAGGGGTACTTACGAAGGGACTGAGGGGAGATGCTTGAGAAAAGAAAGGCCCCAGGAGGGAGATGTAGGTGATCTCAGGCTTTTCCATGGGGGTTGCTTTACGAAGAGACTCTGGGGTCCTTTGTGGGAGCGTGGAAGGAACAATGAGACACCCTTTCCTTCAAATTGGAGGTCTAGAGCCTGAAAGTAGCTAACGACAGGCAACTTCAGGAAGATCCTTGATTCATCCACCCCAAAGGATCAGAGAGTAGCCCAAGATAGGAGGGAGTTGACCTGGAAACTCAAGAGAGAGAATGAGCTGGAACTTAATGAAGGCTGCCCTACTCTCCTTCTTCTCTACCCAGCCCTCTAAGGACTTGGAGCAATCTAAGACAGCAGACACCGCTGTTTCTCCTCTTGTTCTGTGTTTCTCGGTAAAAATCAAGCCATACCAGACTTCTTATTTCACATAAAAATAAATTAATGGGGATAAACTTTTCTCATTTTGAACTTTCCCCTGTTTTCTCTTGAAATTTGGAGGTCTTCTGTTATTCAGCCTTTTACACGCACCTGCCAGTGACCAAATTAATGAAAAGTTGCAAATGATGCTGATGGAAAGACTCAGAAATTGGTGATCATGCTT